ATGTCACCCCCCCAGGTGACTAGGTGTCCCCAAACCTCTAGTCATCCCTCCCCCCCCTAAAAAAATAACCCCTTCCTACCCCCTCACCCTAAAAAATGAGGGGGGACCTTTAATTAAGTACCTGTAAAAAAAATAAAACTTACCATTTGATTTCTTCTTTCTTCTAATATCTTATTTTTTCAGCCCCTAAAAAGGCCAACTAAAAATCTATAATAACCGACGCACTTAAAAAAACAAAAAACAAACAAAAAAAAAGAGCGCAAAAAAACCCCCCATCTTCACCCATGGAGGGCTCCGCGCAAACTGAGCTCTGCAGGGCGGGGGAAGGCTTATAAAGCCTTGCCCTGCCCTTCAATTAGGCTCAGAGCACTCTGATTGGTGGGTTTAAGCCATCCAATCAAAGTGCTCTGACAGGTAAATGAAGAGACTGCTAGGTAAGTCTCTACATTTACCTGCCACAGCACTCTGATTGGTTGGCTTGAAATCCACCAATCAGAGTGCTCTGTGTCATTTTACACAGTGTGGCAAAGTTCTTTGGAATTTTCCCACGCTGTGTAATTTGACTCATTACTTTCTGATTGGTTACTTAATCCACCAATCAGAGTGTTATGAGTCAAATTACACAGCGTGGGAAAATTCCAAAGAACTTTCCCACGCTGTGTAAAATGACACAGAGCACTCTGATTGGTGGATTTCAAGCCAACCAATCAGAGTGCTGTGACAGGTAAATGTAGAGACTTACCTGTCAATCTCTTCATTTACCTGTCAGAGCACTCTGATTGAATGGCTTAAACCCACCAAACAGAGTGCTCTGAGCCTAATTGCAGGGCGGGGCTTTTTAAGCCTTTCCCCACCCTGCAGAGCTCAGTCTGCATGGAGCCCTCATCGGGTGAAGATGTATTTTTTTTTTCTAAGTGCGGCAGTTATTATGGATTTTTATTTGGCCTTTTTTGGGGCTGAAAAAATAAGATTTTAGAAGAAAGAAAACATTGAATGGTAAGTTTTATTTTTTTTTACAGGTACTTAGTTAAAGGTCCCCCGCTCATTATTTTTAGGGTGAGGGGGGTAGGTAGGGGTTCATTTTTTTGGGGAAGGGGGTGTCTAGGGGTTTGAGAACCACTAGTCCTCAAAGGGGAGGTAACATTTTTATTTAGGGTCCCCACCCGCCGCTCAGGGGTGGGGGATGGGGGAGGACACTAGGTCCCCCCCATTGGTATTTAGGGCCCCCCACCCACCGCTCAGGGGTGGGGGCCATGGGGTTCATTAGGTTCCCCCCCCTTATTCCAATTTAGGGCCCCCACCCACCCCTCAGGGGTGGGGGTCAGGGGGAGGACATTAGGCCCCCCTTATTAGTATTTAGGGCCCCCATCCACCACTCAGTGGTGGGGGCCAGGGGGGGACAACAGGTCCTCCCCCCTTATTCCAATTTAGGGCCCCCACCCGCCACTCAGGGGTGGGGGCCAGGGGGGAGGACATTAGGTCCCCCCCTTATTAGTATTTAGGGCCCCCACCCACCGCTCAGAGACCTAATGTCCTCCCCCTTGGCCCCCACCCGCCGCTCAGGAGTGGGGGCCATGGGGGAGGACATTAGGTCCCCCCTTATTCCAATTTAGGGCCCCCACCCACCGCTCAGGGGTGGGGGCCAGGGGGGAGGACATTAGGTCCCCCCCTTATTAGTATTTAGGGCCCCCACCCCTGAGCGGAGAATAAGCCCCCCCCATCATTTTACTTTAGAGCCCCCACCCACCACTCAGGGGTGGGGGTCGGGGGGGGCAATAGGTCCCCCCTTTAGTTTAAAAGCCCCCACTCGCACTCGCGGGTGGGGGCTCGGAAGTGGTGCCCCTGTTTATTTATTTTTTTAACAGTGAGCAGCCACAGGTTTAATAAACATGCCCCTACTCAAGGTATAGCGACTAGGGGCAAAATTTACTAATACTAAGTTGCTGAAGTTCCAAAGTTACCGAAGTTCCGAAGTGTTGAAGTGCCGAATTGCCGAAGTCCCGAATTGCGGAATGCCGAAGCGAACTGAAAATTTTCCCCATGCACATGCCTAGTGCATTTCCTTTCTTTTATTTATAATCACCAGCATCACAAATACTACACCATATTCCGTTTGTCCTCCTGTTTTAAATATCGTACCTTCTTTATTTGAATTGAGGACACTTGTAAAGTCGCTGCTTCCCTGAATTCCCTTTCGATATTGGAAAATGCATTTATAAAAAGCATGATGTTCAATGTAGTTATTAATTAAAAAGTATATAAAACAAATTAGGAATAAAATAGTATAAGCAGGGGGAAGAAAAGCAGCTTGTGAACATAAAGCTTCTGGAAAGGATAATTAAGTATGAATCTTTAGCTTATCAAATACTAATAATCTGAATTCAAAGTAACAGCAGTATAGATACTCTTCTTTGTCTTATGTGCAGAAAAGGGAAAAATCTATAGGAAAGGACATTAACACAACCTTCTAAAATACACATGTATACTTCTATATCCATTACTATAAAAGCAATTGAATGCAAGATTTGGTTAATAATTATGACCAATAACCAAAAAGATGAATACAATATCCTATATCCACTGAAAGTATAGAATATCAGATACAAATATCCCCTAATGACTTCAAAGTTCATCCATATCATCAGAGGTGTACCTAGGCTACATTGCCTTCGGGGTGGAAATGTATTTCGGCACTCCGCGTACTAGAATTATTTTTTGTATCTCACAATGTTCCTTCCAATACCCTTTTCTTAGGGAAATTACACAAACATCCTCACAGTCATATTAGACACATACAAATATATAAATATGTGGACATTTATATCTACATATACATACATTCATATCCACTAGATTGTAAGACAGTTTGATTGTAAGCCATCCTTCTTGTAACATTTTGTATTTGTCTCATTTATTGTTAATTCTCCTCCTTCGTTATGTTGTAAAGTGCTGGGTAATAAGTTGGTGCTATATAAATGGCAATAATAATAAGATACACACACACGGAAACATACACAGAAACACACATTAATGTACATACACACTGACACAAACTCACACACGGACAAATACATAAACATATACACATGAATTTATATACCCAAACTTCACACATACAGATTCAGATTCAGATACGTAAACACACATAGATGTACACACACAAAGACATAGACTCACACACACATATATGCATATACATGAAAACATTCATACACACACACACACACACACACACTCAATTTTCAATTTATTTTATTTTTGGGGGGGAGACGTTGTTCACAGTTAGGTCCACTCTACCTGCCTTTTCTTATCTTGAAAGGTAGCTAGAGTGCAACCTCATCCCAGGGGTCCAGTTGTATGTTGGTGGGATCAGTCTTTGTAAGGAATAAACATCTCCCTTCTGGTCTGTACTGATGCCAAGGCTGAGGTGATTCCACATCAGTACAGGGTGTGCACATCAGTACAAGGAGGGCAAGGAAGCTAATAAAAGTGCAGAGAGATCCCAGAAGACCCCACAGTGCCCGCTCCCCACCCCAGTTTTGTAAATAGACCCATATGTTTCATATATTGAGTAATATTATTTAGTGCACACTATAAGGCATTTCTACTGTGAGCCTCAGGCTTGAACTTTATGAACAGAGTATGATGTTATTGGGTCAGGAGTACAGTGCACGGAGCTTATTGGGTAAAATCTCCATAGGTCAAGAGCAGGATCAAATTTCGTAAAACTGAAACATAATGGGTTAAAGGCAAAAGATAAAATGTAGGGTATTTTGAACCAAATGTTGCCGTCTCCTTGAAAGCTGAGCACAATTTACCATTTATTAAATTAAATAATAATTAAATGTTTATCTGAGGAACTCATCCAGAACAATTATTTGATCAGTTGAAGTCATGAGCACATTGTAATGTATCTGTGTTAATATTGACTTTCACTGACTCACTGTAAATCTTGTGTCAGTAATTATTTAAAATACACTAACTGATACTATTAACTAACACAGTATTCCATGAGTATATAACAGCCTGCTATGTTGGCATCACAGAACTTCACAGGCATTCAGGATGGACTCTACCTCTCACAAACGCTATCCTCTACATGAATGGGATACAACAGAAATATTTAATAGATATTTTTCCAGAACAGTTGAAAAGGAAACCTTTGCCGAGGCTGTAAAATTTCCAATTGAACAGATTTACAAGGTGGCAAGTCTAGGTATGTTTAATGATTGTTACTGTAATACCGTTTACGATTAAAAATGCTGCAAATTCTCACTTTTTATATTTATTGTCCACCTACAACTCAGATGGCGGGTGTGCAGAAGATATAGATGAAATTTTGTCAGATGCGACAAATAAAATTATTTATTCAAGTTGATCATGTTTCAAAGGGCTGTCATAGATGTGTTCTTAATTTAAGACTTTATCTACAATTTTATATCAATTTGGGGTTGCTTTTAATTATTACAACCAATAAGTTTATATATATATATATATATAAAGTGGTTCTTGCTGAAATATATATCTGCTCCATTTTGTAAAATTTTAAGCTTTATTTTTATATTTTTTACAATAGTTTACTCTGTATTTATTTTCAGGGACATAATTTCTATATAAACATAATATTCTATATTTAAAAAATATATGCAGAGAGCACCGCACAGGAAATCATGGAGACCTGGCACAGAGAGAGCAGAGTCTCTGCCATATCTCACCGAGAAGGAGGATGTCCCTTACAGCAGGGGTTTTAAGAATTGGTAGATCGCTAATCTCTCCAGTCACAGCATGGCTGTTCAGCTGGAATAAAGCTGTTTCCTTTATTTTGCCTCCCAAGATCCATGGACGAGACTGGGTTGATTTACAGAATGGAGAGCGATTTCAGGTGCACAGTGAACTCTATATTGCCCCTCGTATCCTTCCTGGGCCATGTTTCTGTTCAATTGGGGAAGCATATGTTTTGGGCTCCATCAATCCTGATTTGTACAAATATCCAGATGACAATGAAGAAACCGATTTCCCCAATTGGCCGTATTTGGTTTGCAGTGGAGTATGAACATGAGACAGAGAGACTTGTGGTCTCCCTGATTAAAGTGAGGAACCTCCAGCTCAACTTTGATTCATGCAACCCCTTTGTCAAGATCCATCTCCTTCCAGATGAACGGCACTATCTTCAGTCTAAAGCAAAGCGCAAAACCGTGAACCCACACTTTCATGAAAACTTTGTGTTTCAGGTTTCTAGTAAAACAGTGCTTCACAGAACACTGATGTTTTCCATTTATCATGTGGATAAAATAAAGAAACACCATCTACTGTGGCAGGTTATGTTCCCTTTGAAAAATGAAAATTTGACAGATGATGTGAAGCTTGTTATATGGAGAGATCTAGAAGTTGAAAACATGGAGCCTCCATCAGAGTATGGAGACATCCAGTTCTCTCTTAGCTACAATGACTACCTGGGGCGCATGACAGTAGTTGTTCTCCGTGCAAAAGGTTTACCATTTTAAGTGAAGCCTGGTAAGAGCAGATCAGCTTTTATCAAAGTATCTCTCATGAATCACAACAAGTTTATCAAATCTAAATAGACTGCTGTAGTTTGTGGATCACCAAATCCTGTTTACAATGAAGCCTTAAGCTTAAAGTTGGAGCATAACGAGTTGGATATGGCAAGCCTGAGTCTGTGTGTCTTTCAGAGCAGTGAAGAAGACAAAAATCACTTGCTGGGCCACGTTGTGGTTGGGCCATTTATGTATGCCAGAGGACGTGAACTTGAACACTGGAATGAGATGCTCAACAAACCAAACGAACTGGTGAAGCGATGGCATGCCTTATGCATTAGTACCTGATGTGGAGATCTGTTCTACCAAAAAGGACATTCTATGTGTTTGGTACAAAGTAGAGCAACTGTGCTGTTATTGGAACCCTGTAATCTCTCTGATCGACTATAGTGACCCACCCATTGTTCAGACTGTGTATAAAGTTGGACATTCACGTAGGCTTTGTTGTAAAATGCAAAGGATAACTTAGCAGATGGATCTTAATGTAGTATTGATTCAGTGTTCATTTTCTGTGGTCAAATAAAAACACAGATAGTGACAGTATTTGTAAACAGCTACAAGAAAAAAGTGAAATACTCTATCCCTTAATATAGAACAAACGTGTACAAATCACATAGTGCTGTGGGATATGTTGGCTCTTAATGAATACAGTTATTGTAAGGTGATGAAAGACCAATTGGTTCATAAAAGTAACTCCGCAACAAGGAATCTAGCATTATGTAGAGAGGCAAACATGCACAATCCATTAAGTAATGGTGTCAAAGCATCAGGGATAGCTGAATAGTCCTGCATATTATCAGTAACACACCTTGGTGATTTTGTATTTTCATTTTACTGAAATTTACCAATCTGTCCCTCAAGTTGCTCTAGCTGTTATTGAAGAACACATGTATCCAAGATGCACCTCTATCGGAGTTTATTGTAAAATATTTGGTGTACTCTCTATTTGCTTTTGTTACAGATGGTGTACATCCTACAACATGTGAATTCAGTCTCAAACCTAAACATTTCCACTCCTGTCTCCAATCACATAAGGAACTTCCATAACTCGGATGCATCTCATCTTACGTTTCAGGTTTTAGAACGTATCCACCTGAACACTAGAAAGGGTAATTTTAATCTCACCCTATTAAGGAAAGAATCCAGATGGATACATGAATGTAAGACCTTATGCCCCTTAGGACTAAATGAAGAATTTAATTTTACCCCATTCATTCACAAATAAATGCATAATTATTTATTATCAATATTAATTTAGGTCTATTACAAACATTCTCTTTCCTATAATCTTAAAATCCTAAAAACTTTCATTAATGTTACATTTTAGCCAACAAGTTTAGGAATCCACTAATATATTCTGCACTAATCAGTAAATAGTTTAGCAGATAAACGTTGCTATGTTCGTTCAACTAACTATGTCACTATTGTTAATCATATATAAGTTAAAATAATGACATTATTGTCATTTTGAGAATTACTGTTACTTACACTTTTCCACCTTTTCTTTTCTTTTTTATAATCAATCTTTTTAACATTCAGTAAAAAATAAAAAATATCAAAAAAACATAAGATTCAGGTCAACATAGGGTTAATTAGTCAATTATTTCTTAATGGTTGAGATTCCCTCCCCAAGCTACCATTGGTCAGAATCCTGAAAATCCTCCAATCAATTGAGAGCTTATGATTTAAATACTCCTATGTTTGCCAGCATCTGGTTCCCCTCTGATGAGCTTCACGGGCGAAACGTGCACGTCAGGGGCTCTGGACACTTACTGACACATTATTGGTGTCGGCACCTAACTCTCTGCTTATCTATTGCTAAATTACCGACACCAAGTTCATTCATGTCCAGCATCTCAGGAGTGCATATTGGAGACTCTTAACACTAATTTTGTGTACTCTGTACATACTTTATTTATCTTTCTTTTTCCTTTATTATGTTTATGGGGGGAGATTGATAAGACCAGGCTTTTTATTAAGGGGTGCCCTCGAAGGCACAAGACTCAGGAATCTTTATTCTATATGCCTTCCTCTGTCACTGTCTGTATATTTTCTACTATCTAGGCAACCTGTTCAAAACTGTTTGTAAACCCTCTCTCTTTATACCTTGACCTATTATTTAGATGCAGCTAGCATTTAGGCAACTTGTGTGATTTTTAACCGGTTAACTGCTGCCTGTCAGCAGTCCTTCACAGGTGAGCTACTACTTTGTGCTCCACTGTGGTCAAGCATAAGTGAACATCATTCAGTGCAGGCAGCTGTTGTTACACTAGAATATACTGCTAGGTATCTTGCAGAAAAAACGGAGCCAGGTCAGCAACCCCTTATTTTATACTTTACTGCTTGACAGCAATCTTTAATTTATTATCAAAATGCTGCTATGATCTAGGCAGCTTTTGTGATATTTAACTGGCTAATCGCCGTCTGTCAGAAATCTGTCTTAGCTGAACCATTATCTTTGATCTTTCTGAGGTTAAGCACCATAGAACATTATCAATTATTGTATGTGGAGTTAACCCATGTCGTTAGTTGTACTATCATGTAGGGATTTACTTATCCATATCTTTTAACTATTGACAGCACTGGTTTAGCAGTTGTCTTATCTCCCCCCCTCTTGTTACAGCTATTAGTGATATATAATATAGTATCACTTCTATTACTTGGGAATACACTGTTATATTGTAGCTAAACAGTATTGCTTCATCATTAGTGTTATTATGTATACACTTTTACAGCTTGTATAAGTAGTCACAGAGTTTCACTCGCTGCATATTCTCCATTTACTCCTGCTGTTCATATTATTTTTCTTTTTTATATTTTTATTTTAGATTTATTTATTAAAAGTTACTTTTTAATCTACAATCTTCTCAGTAAATCATACACAGGTAGAATGGCATTTGTTTCTTTTTTTGTTTATTCCAGATGGCGTACATGTATTAAAATACTGTTACAAAATAAAAAAAATAAATGCATATAATTGATACTGTTTCAGAAATAAAATGCATTTTTAAGTTGTCCAAATATTTCCTAAGCCCTAAAATGTACATTTCTTTAGCTAAATTACCAAAAGCTATAGGACAGAAGCTTTGGCACTGTCAGCGGTTATCACCTAAAGTGAGAAATGTCTTGAATTCAAAGGGTATTTTGAAATTTAAGACTAAAATGGCTGAACTATAAAATTATCTAAGTCAGCTATGTTTCCATTTTCAATGTTTTTAAATTAATTTGAATAATTTTTAATTCACAACAATTCTCACTTTAGTGAATAACCCTGTGTGTGTGTGTGTGTGTGTAGCTCACCGAATCATGGGCAGCCTGTCCAATATAGAAAGTGGAAGTGCAGTCAACCCTTCATCATGGAATTCAGGGTGCTCTAATGGATAAGGCATCTGTTATTAGCATGTTGTGTGTGTGCTCTGTTTGCCGAGACCAAATAGTTGAACAAAGCTGATATTGCCAGCCAGGAAGAGAGTATTCCAGCTGGGTAATTGACAGTCCAAGGAGGTGGCCCAACACACTGTTTGAAGTAAACAATATTGCTACATTAAAAATGTATATAGGGAACATACCATGAGATCATATGTTATGTGTGAAACAAGAATATAATCATGTAGTCCATGGAATTATGCAATAAGTTCATATAATTGGGTATTTAGGATATTTTTTTAAAAACTGTGAACTGGGGGGAAAATATCTTGGATGAGAAGAAAGTTTCAATTGATATGAAATGTTTAAATAGAAACTTTCAAGATTTAAAAGGTAATAAAACAAATTATTTACGCAACAGCTTGACTCAAATGATGATACTTTAGTAGCTACAAAAGCAAAGAGTAAAAGCAGATATTAGATGTGTTTGTGCTTGGTAAGGCACATAATCATAGGTAGGGACACAAATGTACAAAAAAAAAAATAATAATCCAGAGAATAGCAATGAAATAAAGTGTGTGTGTGTGTGTGTGTATATATATATATATATATATACATATATATACACACATTAACTTTTCTAATTGATCATGCTTCAAAACAAGATATATTTCAAATCAAAGTTACTTTACTACAGTTCTACATAGCCCAACAGATATTATGTTGGTGTGGATTATGGCATGAGTGGTGAGCCGTCCAGAAGACTATTCCGAGTCTGTGGTGGAATTTGATTTTAGTATATGCAATAATTAATAATCCTCTTTAATAGTAACTGTGTATGAAAAAATGTCAGCTCTATCAATTTAATCCAGGTAAAAACTAGATTCTGAACAAAGAATTACTGGAGACCGTTTGATATTTCATTTGGCTCTGCTATTTACCATCTGTTGCCCATTTATGAGCTTTTCAAAGATATAACTATTTTAGAATGTAGTGATTTCTGTGTGAATGAACTGGAGAAATGGAAGAGTAAAGAACCAGATTTCTTTGACTGGACCCATGCCTTATCTATCATGGCAGAACTGCAAGGTACATGGTAAGGCTCAAGCTAATTGACATATTTTTTATGACCACATAAAGATGGCAAATCACTAAAACCATTTCTAAAAAAATTATTTTACAGAGTTGTTTAGAGTATCAATAAGAAAATGAAGGACGGACCTATCAATGTAGTCAATCTGGAAAATAATTCTATTTGTCTTTTCTATTCGATTATCTTTTGCATTCTATGTTACATTGGCATTCACATATCTCAAAATAATAGATTGTTCTCTGTCAACACTCATTATTTTTCAATGCATTATGTACCTCTTTTAGGTTAGGAGGCTCAACATGTTCAGGAAGCACATGTCAGCAGCCTTTGGACCTATTCCTGAGATGTCATTGTGCAGCAGGATGTTATCAGAGGGTCAAGTTTTTAGATTTTTACAAAAAAGTTAAGTCTGTAGTGTGAGTGAGTTCATTCAGTGTGGAAAAAAGCAGTGCCCTAAGCTTCTACCACCTAAGTTTTGAATAGACCTCTCCAGATAAGGTTACAATAAAACTGTCAGGATCCTATCCTGACAACCAGAAATATGTTTATTTTACTTCTGTTTTCCACCACAAGTGGCCTCCCTAACAACTAGACTATCCTCAGTCTCTCACACCTACCTAAAATAATCACCTGAACTATGCTATAAAAGGCCACACCCGACTAAACCAAACAGCCTTCACAATGAGAGAAGTTATTGTTCTGAACCTGACAAGTCTTCTGCTCCTGGCTCACACAGAGAAACTTGATCAAATCTGATTTACTTTGTACCATCTTGATCTACTCATCAAACCTGCTTGTTTCCAGTCTGCTCCTCTCAAAGAATCTTGGTAAAACAAAACCTGAACACTAATATCACCCTGCTTTAATTCTTACTTGACTTTTAATACCAATTTACCTTATTGTTTTTGTTCTATTGGACATTTAACCAGAGACATCAAAACTTACCTGGATAATACTGACTATCCATACTTGATCCTGAGTAACTTTTTTTTTTTTTTTTTTTTTACTTTCTGCAAATTACTTTATCCTCTGTATTACCTATGAAATATTAAAGTTAAAACAATAACATTTAAAAGCCAACTTTTAGTGTGCATAGGAATTACAAGGTCGTTCATAATGTGAGATAAAGAACAGCTTTTAAAAACTGAATAGTCTGTGAACACAAAATGACCTTGCACTGAAAATTCACATGAAAATTTATTTTTTCCCCTTATTTATTTAATTATCCTGAGTAACTTTACTGCAATTATCTATAACGGCATTACTGCCTTCAACCAAAGGACTCTGATTTACTAAATGGCTATTTAACCTGATTTCATTATACTTTCATATTCTGTTTCTCTGTTCTATTATATATTGTTTGTCTCTTACCTATAATTTCTCTTATTGGTCTTTCCTCTCTTATTATACCTGTTACCTGATGAGCTATTTGGGGCATTTTGCCTAACTCCTTATTTCTCCTGGGGCATATTGCCTTTCTCGTTATTTCTATAACCACTCCTTCTTCCTCCTCACCTATTTCACTTATAGGTTTTCCTCTTACTATTATACTTACCTATAATGTTGAAAAATGCAAAGTTATGCACTTCGGCGTAAAGAATACACAAGCAACGAAT